CACAAGGTCAGGGTTAAGTGAAAAGATGCTCTCCAGGTCAATCTCTTTGCCTTTTGTATCTCCATTTTCTATCCATTCAACAGTTACACTTTCATTATCTTCATTTAAAGATGTTACCATTGCTTGATGTATTCGGCCATCGCTCCGCTTGATCTCCACGTAGATCCCAATCTGGATCTTGCCGAAGTTGGCCGTTGCCATCACCTCATCTGGAGCAGCGGCGGCGGGCCGAGGGAGGGGACGGGAGGGCGGAAAAGGCGGGGAGGGGGCGGGGTAGGTGTGGGAGGGGGAGCGGTGGCCCGCGGCCGCGCCGGCCCGGGCGACAGCGTGAATGCGAGCGGGGCCGCGAGGAGCAGCGGCGGGGAAGCAGGCGGAGGCCCCGGGCCTGCAGGCCGGCGGGAGGACGCGCACGCCGGGGCGTCGGGGTGAAACGAGGGCCGGGGCTATGAGGCGGCGCGGGGGAGAGTGGGAGGGCCGGCGGCCCGGGAGCCGACGCTGGGGAGGCGGGGCGCCGCGCGCCTGCGCAGAGCGGCCGGCGCCGTCTCTTCCTTCTGGACTGGCCTCAGCCCGCTGCCTGGAGGCGCCTCCCTGCTCCGCGGCGGGGTGGGGCTGCGGCCGCGGCTTGGCCGGCCGAGGGAGCGGAGCGCGCGGGGCCCGGCCCCCAGCGAGCCGGCGTCGAGTTTGATTTCAGCGCGCCGCCCAGAAGGCGCGGAAAGCGGCGTTCGATTGCCGCCTGTTCTCTGGCTTCCTTGAATTGGTGCTTTCGCCTGGACGGATGCTGAGCCAAGTGGTTTCAGGGCTTTCCGGTTGGAGCACGGGGCTAAGAGATGTGAATTTACTTAGAGACCCTCTATTGTCAATTAGGACTGTGTGTTTTCTTCTCAAGTTGTTACCTCTATTTCCACCTGGAAGTGACTGGCCCAAGTAATCCCAAAGCCCACCATTACCCGTCCAGTTTATGGAGGAAAGGCAGAAACCCCTTTGATGTGTCACCCACCCTAAGTTGGAATAAAGACCTGCTTCTTTATAGCCTTATTTCTTAGCTCATCCCCGCTCAAAAAGGAGCTCCGCTGTGGAGCAGCCTTAATTGCTGGGTTTATGAGTTATTAGATGCTAGTGTCCTGTTTCTGCTGTAGGGTTCAGGACTTGCCTTGGCCTCTAAAGCCAACAGCTATGACTCAAGGACAGAGACCCATTAGGTTGACGAAGGAATGTGCCTTTTCTGCAGTCGCTTGACCAGTCTGACCATATCAGTACTGTGGAAAGAAGCTCCTCCATCCTGGCAGAGTGGAAGGCCGCTTGGACAGGGACAGTGGAAACTTGACAGCTCCATGTAAAGACCTTGAAGTGTGCTACTTTCTTGTAATATTGGGACGTGATATAGAGGAAACAATTTTCATGCCCTGTTTTCTTTAGTTTTTTCATTGTTATTCTCCCCATAATAACAATAAATATTCTGTTTTAAACTTCAAACGTTGGAAGGTGGATTTATAAGTGCTTATGTTTATGTATCTGCATGCCTAGAATTTTAAACCAAATACATACAATCAAATAGATCCTTAAAAATGTTAAAGACTGGCCTCATCTGTAACTTGAACATATTGAAAGTATACTTGTCAAAAGAACAAATCTCTTAAATCCATTCTAAAGTAGGCATAACCTTTTACATTCCAGAAATGACATCACACTTGAGAACCTCTGTTTTGAAATGGGATTTGACCAACGCAGACTGCAGTTTTTATTTTTTCTACAATCTTAAGATTTTATCTGAACTCTGAGCTCCTGTCTAGAATTCATTTTCTGATGCCTTTGCGGCTGAAGTATAAAGCATCTATTTATTGCTTGCAAATCCTTTAAAGAGTGCAAAGACATAAAGCTATGCAGCTATTAAATTTAAAATTGCTTCATAAAATACTGTTTTATCATGGTTGCTAACACATACTTTGCACCCTGTAGGTTATATAATTAAGAAATCTTAACCTTTAATTCATACACAAAAGTATTTTTTAAAATGTACATCATCTTGCTCTATAAAAAATATATGAGACATGACAGTTAACAAACATCTTTTTTTAATAAGCCATACCTAATAGGCTTATGTTTTTTAGTACATCCCAGCATATATATTCATCAAGACTTGCATTATAGAGTTTATATGTACGTGGCCTTGTGAAGATATTTCTGTCAACAACCTGGATCAAAGACTATAACTCTGGCTCAGGTATTAGCAAGATGTACAACCTTAACTAGAACTACTGCTACTAACTTCCCAAACTAATATCTACTAACTACTAAGATATCTAACCTTATAAGAGTTACCGTTCTAGTTAGGGTAATCAAGTAGGCACTCACACATTGGTTCAATGAGTTAACTTCTTAAATTGCTCACAATATCTCAGTTATTTCTTTCATCAACCTGGAATAATAACTTCCATCTTGCAATCACAGAAAGTTTCTGTGAGGACAAATGAAATAAAATGTGATAATGCTTTATTATCTATAAGTATAATACAAGTTAGGAAATCAAAGTAACACCATTCTATGAAAAATGACCCAGTACTCTAATCCTCAAATCATTAATTAGAATTTTTTGTCCAGTGACAGAAAATGTAACACACATTATCAATTTGGCTATGGCCCTCACCATCTCCCATTAAAAAGATAGCAACAGCTTTATAGATCTGTGTTTTATTTATCCTACTGTAAACTGACAGAAAAATTTTATTCAAGGATTATTTCCATTACGTAATACATACCCTATTATGATTGGTTGCTGTTGGCCTACTAATTTTGAGTTGCTAAACCTTTTTTAAAAATCATAATTGTTATTGTGATCCAACAAAGCTAATTTCATTATTATGCCTAGTTTAAAAAAAATTATCTGGGTTTGGCGTGGAGGCTCATGCCTGTAATCCTAGTACCTTGGGAGGCTGAGAGGGAGGATTGCTTGACACAATGAGTCTGAGACCAGCTTGGGCAAGAGTAAAGCTTTGTTTTCTACAAAAAAAATAGAAAAATTAAGCCAGAGTGGTGGTGGCACATACTTGTAATCTCAACTACTGGGAAGGCTGAGGCAGGAGGATCTCTTGAACCCAGGAGTTTGAGACCGCAGTGAGCTATGATCATGCCACTGAACTCTACCTTGGTAAACAGAGTGAGACCTTAGGGCCGTGCCTGTGGCTCAAAGAGTAGAGCTTGGCCCCATATACCAGAGGTGATGGGTTCAAAACCCGGCCCCAGCTAAAAAGGGCAAAACAACAATAACGAAAATTTCATCAGAGTAAGACCTTATCTGAAAAAAAAAAGTCTCTGTTTTGGGCTTATTAGCACATAAACTGTCCAAGGAAAAAATTGTTAAGCTAGAGAGTGAGACTTGAGACTGAAGATTGCACTCTAACTTTACCTGTTCCTTTGTGTAGGAACAGACAAAAATTCAGTTTCACTTCTGGTCAAGATTATATTACGTGCTTGTCTATCTCTTGTAATCTGAAGCTTTTTATTCCATTTTTGCATCCATTCTGAATTGCTTCCACAAAGTTTGTGAATTTGAGATCAAGTGAGTAGTGTTGATGGAAAGTTTCTTTGCCTTTGTCATCGTCTTTCTGTCCTGGACTTTATTGGAGAATTAGTGATTCTCATTCATTTACTCAGATGGTAGTTCTAATTAAGCTTGTGTAATCTCAATAATTTATTTTAGTCCTTAAACAAACACATTAAAAACACTTAGGAGATACCAATCCTAATTTTACCCTCTTAGCAAAATATCTCTTCTCCATCGGATTCTTCAGGATTCCCTCTCTAAGAAACAAAATCTGGCTTGGTGCCTGTAGCTCAGCGGCTAGGGCCCCGGGCACATACACCAGGGCTGGAGGGTTCAAACCCAGCCTGGGCCTGCCACACAACAATGACAACTACAACAACAACCAAAAAAAAAAAAAAGCCAGGCATTGTGGCAGACACCTGTAGTCCCAGTGACTCAAGAGGCTGAGGCAAGAGAATCACTTATGCCCAAGAGTTTGAGATTTCTATGAGCTGTGACGTCACGGCACTCAACCTACCGTGACATAGTAAGACTCTGTCTTGAAAAAAAAAAAAACTTGATTATTTTCCTATTCCCATTTAAATTCCTTTTTTTTCACTTTCCTCCTCCACCAAATTCTCAAGTGAGTGTTGTAGATACCCACTGCCTGATTCCCCATCACCTATTCATTTCCTAACCCACAAATCTGAATTCAATCTTCTACTGAATTGTATTTTTGAAAGTCAGCAATTACATTTTAATTGAGGCAATGGACATTCTACAATCTTCATTTGTGTTGAATACTTTGCAGAATGACCTGCTGTGTCTCTTCCCAATGATACCTTGCCCATTCACAAGTTTTTCCACTCAATTTTTGCACACCTTCTCCAAGCTTTGCCCTTCTCTTTTCCTCTTTGCTTATGTAAAGTCTTCTTACCCAGCCGGGTACAGTGGCTCACACCTATAATCCAAGCACTCTGGAAGTGGGAGGCTGAGGCAGGTGGATTGCTTGAGGTCACACAAAACCAGCCTGAGCAAGAGCAAGACCCTGTCCCTACTAAAAATAGAAAAATCTAGCTGGATGTTATGGCACATGCCTATAGTCCCAGATGTTTAGGAGGCTGAAGCAGCAGGATCATTTGAGCCCACTAGTCTGAGGTTGCTGTGATCTATGCCACCAGGGCACTCTGGCCTGGGGCAACAGAGTGAGACTCTATCTCTATCAAAATGTCTTCCTTTTAAAATATCCTTTTTATCTTCAGGTAAAGAAAAAAGTCCTTGGGGACCAGAGCTGATGAATAGGGAGGATGTTCTAATACAGTTTTTGTTTACTGGCTAAAATTTCCCTCACAGATAGTGCCATGTGAGTTGGTGCATTGCCATGATGTAGGAGCCACACCTTTCTCATGCCAAGATTTTCCTGTTTTTCTATCGATATTTTACATGATTTCAGG